CTCTTGCGTTCTTCTCTATTATTGTATATTGATTCCAGCTTGCAGAATAATCACTATTCTGCTCAACGTCACAATGATTTCTTGTTGGTGCTTCCATGAACCTGCTAAGCATGCTCACCACAAACACAATATACGACCTTGTGGCTTTTAAGTACACGAGACTGCCAATAAGTCATCCATAAATAGTAGCACCAACACTTCTCTACTGTCAAATTTACTTAGCTTCAAACCCACTTTCATAGGAGTGATAACTGGAGTAACATTTTCCACTCTAAATCTCGTTAGTAAATCTCTCACATACTTCTTAGAAAAATAAATATTCCTTATTTCTTCACCACCATTCACATTGCTTCATAGCTTCTTTGCATTTTTACAAACAATTGAACTATAGTCGATAAAAATTAAATCTTCAACATAGAGACAAATGATCAAAATATCACTTTGTTTGCCTTCTTTGGTGTAGAGAATATGCTCAAACGGATACTTCTTGAATCCTTCATAAAATAACTGTCAATTTGATGCACCAAGCTCTAGGAGGTTGCTTCAAATCATAAAGAGCTTTTCTCAATCGACACACCTTTGTATTTACATACCTAGGTGGTTGGTTCACGTACACTCTTTCTTCTTCAAGATAGCTATTCAAAAATGCTGATTTTACATCAATATGAAATATCTTCTAGTTGCGTTGAGCAGAAGTGCTATAACTATTCTAATGGTTTCGATGTGGGCTATTGGTGCAAAAACTTCTTGAAAATCAACATCGTAACTTTGTTTATATCCCTTCACTACCAAACGAGCTTTGTAGTTGTCTATTTCTCCTTGTAAGTTTAACTTTGTATTGTAAGCCCACTTTACATCTATTGCCCTCTTGTCATTTGAAAGTTCTACAAGCCCCCATGTTTTATTTCTTTTGAATGGTATTAATTTCTTGGTTCATGGCATGCTACCACCTTGTCTCTTTATTAGCTTCCTCAAAGCTAATTGGATCCGAATCAACAAATAAAACAAAATTTGCTCAACGTCTTCTTCAATATCAAGTTGGATAGAAGTGCCTTCTTTTCCATTAATACTCAAATCCCAAAACTTTTTTTCATTAAATTTCATACCCCCATTTACAATAGCGTATTTGTGAGGAGATTATATAGTTTGTAGGCTTCAAATTTTTTTGAATAGCCGACATTTTTCAAATTTCTCATCTAACTTCTTCCTTTTTGTGTTGAAATTTGAGCATAAGCAACGCATCTGAAAATTCGCAGGTGTTCAACACTTGGCTTGTGATTACTCCAAGCACCTTGAGGGTTCCACCTTAAATACTTTTAGAAGATGATCTATTCAATTTATACATTGCACAAGCCACTGGGACAACCTTTTTTTACCTTTATCATGCTTCTTGCCTACACCATTATTGTTCTAGTCTCTCTGCAACCCTATTTTTTGTGAAGTATGATGAGCAAGGATGTAGAGCAGAAACACAAAAATAATAAACGAACACGTTATCGAATTTTATTGATTCCAAATGAATATTGCAACATAATAACTTTCTATTTTCTTTTGATTCCTAATAATAGTAGAATTCTAGACATCAAAAACTCTTTGTTACGTACGAATACAGAGAATTTGAACTCATTGATTTAAATACTAGAGACTGAGAATTTAAGAGATTGAAATACTCCAAAACCTATAATTTCAATTAAAAAACAACTGGTTGTCATAATGGCTTACATCCATTATTCAAAGAAATAACTAGAATCTTGATCGTTACACAAAATTTAAATACTTACTAAAATTTAGATAATTATTAAAATTGAAAGATTTCATCAAATTCCTCGTAACGATAATATTTCACTTGGTAAATCCGCTAGATACATAACATTTTTTAAATGTATTTCTTATACAATCAACAAACTTAACAAATACTTTTAAAGGATTACCAAAAATCTCAAGTTTGATGATTACCAAAAATACTTCTGGAAAATTAACAAATACTTTTGGATGTATTCATATTCTTCTTTCTCATCTTCATATGATCTTCCTTCGATGCCTCTTCCTCCATAGCCCTTTCCTCTTTCTCTTCCATAAGAGGTTCCTCGTCCATATTATGTTATAGAAATTTGAGTTTTGAATGCATTCTATATGGGAGAAGTATCATATTGCTTCATTCAAAACTCGTGAGATTGAAGAGATCCTATAATATTTTCTATCGAAATTATTGACAAATCTTTTGATTCTTCAATTGCAACAAATATAGATTCAACTTTCGAGTCAAACTTCTAAGGATCTTTGCAACAATCTTTTGGTCATCAATTGTGTCTCCATTCACTCTCAAATGATTTGAATAGATATAACTCGATTGTAGTAATCTTCAAAGGATTCAGTCTCTTAAATCTTGAGATTGTCAACTCACTCCGTAAAGTTTGAACTCACACCATTTTTACTGTTTTCTCCTCTGTATGCAACATCCATTCTTGCTTAGTTGAAGTTGATTTAGTCTTTCGAGTTTTTTTCAACTTAGTTGTTAAGTAGTGGGTCAAGGGCGGACCCGGGGGTCCTAGGGGGTCACGTGACCTCCCAACTTTTGAGATTATTATTATTTTTTTTATAAAATCATGTTTGGTATCGATTGAAATCTAAATTTTACTCTAAATCAAAGTTAACAATTAATTTTAATAAAATATTTCATGTAATCCATAACTGTTTAACTTTTATCAAAATTTACTAAAAAATTGATTTTAATCACCACCAAATAGAGACAAAATCACAATAAATTTAATTTTTTCTATTTTCTCTTGCTCTCTTTTACTCTTTTCCTCACGCCTTTTAACAAAATCTTAACCTTCTAATTTTTTAAAATTTGTATATAATTTCTTTACAAATTATCACATTTATTACAAATCTTCACTTTCCAATCAAATTTTCAAGTAATTAGAACCTAAATTTGTATTTTCTCCTATCAAACTGTGTATATAGAATGTGTGTGAACTCATTATATTCAATTTGACTTATATTTAACGAATTGTGTTTATTTGATTGATTATTAGTATTGAATATTAGTTATATGTTTTTCTTTTCGATTATTTGAATTGATTGTTTGTATCAAATACATTATAAGATTTTTAAACGTAAATATGCATTCTCGTGTGATGAACAAAATATTAATAAAATGACTCTTCGAAATAAAATGGATGAAAATTATTAACAAAATATTAATGAAGAAATATTTTTTAAATGTAAATCTGCATTGTCTCAAGTCAAGTATGAATCATTCAAAAATCAAGAACAAAGTATTCGATTTGTATAGGGTTTGATTGTGCCTCCTAACCTAAAATGTCTGCGTCCGTCCCTGAGTGGGGTAGCAACATTTCGGGTTCTACAAACCCATTTGTAATGATATCCCATAAATCTTGAGATCCATGTAGAATCTTCATCTTAATGCTCCATTGATGATAATTCTTACCGTAAAAAAAAAAAAAAAGGAAGTTGTGGCTACAACATGTTGTTTAATGCCATGACTTCACTTGTAACAAACTGGCTCTTATACCACTTCGTAGGGGATAAATAAAGCTCCTAAAACTATCAAGAAGAGTGTATTCTTAACAAATAAAAATAGAGAAAATGAGAAAGGAATTGTTGAATTCAAACTTCCTTTTATTTAGAGCTTGTTTGGGAGGGATAAAAATCAGATTAAAATTGAAAATATAGTCGTTATTGTTGACTTTTATTAGACGAGTGGGACCCAATAACGGTCATATTTTCAATTTTAATTGAATTTTAATCTCNCATACATGCATCTAGCTTATAAATTTCGATAATATCATGGACGTGATTAAATTTACCTGCAGTGGAGAGTCTCCTGATGCCGGTTTCACACCTGTCACAGAGCATCCCATAATCAAGCAATGACGACGGACACCACGGTACCAATTAGGCCTGATCCTCTTTAGTTGAACATCTGTAAAGCCAGCCTTTTGAAACCATTCAATATACTCTTCTTCCTTTGGAAGAGCATCCACATGTCAGCAAAGAAGCGAGAAAGCCAAAAGGTTGGATACACAGGGCCAATGAGACAGGCTTTGCCCCCAAGTTTTAGTACTCTGTATGCTTCCTTGATACCGCGCTGCGGATCTGGCCAGTACTCGATACTACAAAATAATTTCATGACATCACACAACACACACTTTAAACATATATTTGTGATTATGTCGTCTTGTAAGAGAGAAGAATCTTAGATGTAAGAGACAATATCAAAAAGATTAACCATTACTCTCTCTCTCTCTCTCTCTCTCTCTCTCTCTCTCTCTCTCTCTCTCCCCCCTCCCCACACCAACAATCAAATGCACGGCTAGGTATTGATATACAAATTGTGACAAGGAGCGTCTAATGACATCTATCGCCCCCATTGGTGGGTGCATGTAGCCACATGAAAGAGTTTATTGAGAACAGATATCAATTCCATCCCCAAAACCATGGGCATTAGTTGGCACAGCCTTTTTAGTTGTGCATTATTATTGGGAGCTATACCCAATCAATCTGTTCAGATAGACAGTAAATATATTTTTTTTCCATACAAGAGGCAAATTTATATCATTTCATACATTTACAACAAAAAAGTCGTCAGTACTTAACAATTCAACTCTTTCCAGATTTGAGAATCAATACATATACAAAGCCCATAGCCATGACAAACAAAAAGGAAAAAACTAAAGGTGTGATAACAATAAATATTCTCACAAAATTTAGTAAAAAATAAAATAGTTCAATTTCCAAAGATGAAAACAAGGATATTACCTTCCAGCAGAGATGTATCTATCAGCATAATCAGTCGGGAAAGGGAGGTCCTCAGCATCACCTTCAATAATCTTGCACTCCTTCAGGGGTTCCTTCTTCTTGGCCTTGGCAAGTTGGTGGGGTGACTGATCAAGAATGGTGACATTCTTGGCATCTACATGCTTTACAATCCCAAGAGTGGTGAACCCTGTACCCCCACCCACATCCACTACAGTCAAATTCCTACTGTACGAATCTGCAGGCTCAAGTGCATCATCCCTCATGTCCTCAGTCCAATGCCCTGGATTTATCACATGGTCATACACTATTGACAAGAATCTGTAAAACCAAAAAGCCTTTTGCTTATGTTGTATGAATCTTGGCTGAGAAACTGGCCTTGAGGATGACAAATTGCATTTGGGTACTGCTCTGTTTCTTGAATTTCTTGAAATTTTCAAAGAATTTTTGCCTGGAT